GGTCTCATCTCAGTCGTGGCATTGAGGGTGGAGAGAGCGCTGGACATTCACTCCCCCCACCTACAAACTCGAACCCGCGACCTTTGGGTTACAAGCCCGACACTCTACCATTAGGCAATGACTGCCCCCAAAATATAAAAATATGACTAAATATGACTTAGTATGACTAAATATGACTTAGTATGTCACAATTTCAACTTTTTAATTCATAATTATTACTTAGTATCTCACAGTATTGACTTTTAATGTCATAATTATTATTTACAACTGCATTTTTTTATGTGGCCAAAATAGGCTTTCATACATGAGAGATAAAGTAGACATATTAGAGATGGGTGCATAATAAACCCATTGTAATTGGTTTTAATTTTGATCATTTAGTCTAGAAGATCCATTCAGGCTCTGTCAGGCTGAATGGAAAGCAGCTTTTCAATAGAGCCTAGGGCATTCAGTGACATTCAAAGACTTTCCCCAAACGCCAACATTGCTTTGTCTGTGTTTTTGTTGTCATTGCTAAAAGTAGTCTGCCATAGCCAGACGTTTGACTTGTGCCAATAGGTTGGGAACACTTTGTGGCTTATTTGGTCAATGACTGCCAACTTACACAGAAAGAGGCCAACCACAGTTCATTTTGTTTTATGTGTGCTTTATGTGAAATATTCAGTCATCCTCTACTCACCCTCATGTCATTTCAAACCTCTATGACTTCTTTTCTTCTGTAGAACACAAAATAAGATTTAATGAAACATTTAATGAACATCCAGCAGAGTAAACTTTGCCACCTAGTGGACTGGAGTGTGTAGTGCTGGATGGCACACTGGAGACCAATGATGATGACTGACTGCCATGATTTTAGAGTGCAATTGCTCAAATACTGAGTTTTCATTCATTCATTCATTCATTCATTCATTCATACATACATTCATAACGATCTGAGCACTTGGAAGATGATTACATGATTGATGCTGACACTCTTGGGTACTTCAAGTCACAATATGTTGCCTTTTTTAACCTTTAAGGTTTGTAAAACTGGTTGTTCATATGAGAACATAAGTTCAAATAAACGTTATGATCAAATATGTGTTTAATAATAATAATAACAACATTAAAACTATTACCTGAATGCAGGTTATACTAAACAATTCTTACATACATGTAGGCCTGTCTGATTCTTCATTGTGCATGTTTTCACATTTAAAAGTTACCGACATACATCTGACATAAGATGCATCCTTGAGAGATGACTTTTAAGCTGACATGAATTATTGTGGAGACCGTAATGTTATCTCTAACTGAAGCACAACTGATAGCAACTCTAAGCTTCCGAACCAACTCTGGATATATGAAAGGAGCAGTGGTCAGACCGCAAAGTTACAAGCATCACGCAAACTATATATATTTATTATTCGCTGCTTTTGACTTGTTCAAAACGAAACTAAAGTTATTACAGTTCTCATTACGGTTGTTATTTTATATTGGGGACCTACAAGGCGTGATTATTAGCCCTTTACCGCCAACGTTTGTTGCCACCAAAGCTGAAGTCTTCAGCTTTTTCACCACTAGATGGCAGCATGTACTTGATTACTCACATTTAGTTATTACAAAAAATGACAAGAATCTGTACAAAATATCAGACAACCCTCCAAAGTACAATAAGCTACAGCACTAAGTACCTTAAAATATTTAACATAAACCAATATTTATTTTTTAGGGTATTGACTGGGACTAGGTCACAAGCAGTTATCAGAGAATGGCTGTGCTTTCTTGCATTCAGGGTCCGGTTCCTTAAAACATCTTTCTGCTGTGCATATTTATAAACACAATGATGCATATTTAGCTGTCGTGTTCTCATTAACGACACTGGTCAAGTAATTATATGTATCGTTTTATATGAGATGCTACGCGTTGAAAAGAAAAATAATAACTGAATCGGTTCTTTGAAAAATGAACTGTTCATAAGAACCGATTCCCAGAAATGAGTCGGACTTTCCCGTCAAATTGTCCTTTTTGACTCCCCGTAGTAACGCTCACGTGATCACAACAACAAAAATTTACCGCGAAAACTGTCTCCGCGAGTACATTGGAAATTTAACTAGCTAAGACTTTATCCCCAAAAAATATCGACAAACAAATTTACAATGTTCTGCGAAAAGGCAGTCGAGCTTATTAGAGAACTACATCAGATGGGCGACGGTCAGCTGCCCGCCTTTAATGTAAGTAACGTTACAGCGCTTCGTACAGTTGTAGTACAGTGCGGTGTTTAATAGTTGCTATAGTTTCAGCAGTTAGTAATAATTGTCAATAACAAAGTCAAGTTATACCTTGTCTTTGTTTTTCCGCAGGAAGACGGTATTCGCCAAGTCCTGGAGGAAATGAAGGCTCTTTACGAACAGAATCAGAGTGATGTGTAAGTGTGTGCTCAGCTCTTACTACTAACGTTAACGTTAATGCTTTCTGATTAGTTTAGCATGGCAGAATCTGTGTTACTGATAACTAAAACCATTAGAAATTGTTTTCTTTAACTGAAATAAAGCTTGAATAAAATAAATATTAGATATAACGTTAGACTTAAGTGAAAATTAAAAAAATGTTGTCTTTGCTAACTGAAATAAAATGCAACTAAATAAAATTCAAACTAGTGCTGTCAAACGATTAATCGCGATTAATCGCAGTCAAAATAAGTTTTTGTTTGCATAATATATGTGTTCTGTGTATATTTATTATGTGCATTATATATAAATACACATACATACAGTATATATTTTGAAAATATTTACATGTATTTATATTTACATTAATTTATATTATAAATAAGTATATTTAATATAAACAACATATTTTTCGGAAATGTATACATGCATGTGTGAGTATTTATATATACATAATAAATATACACAGCACACATACATATATTATGTAAACAAAATTTTTTTGGATGTGATTAATCCTTTGACAGCACTTACGTTACTTAAAATGTAAAAGAAAAGAAAATTATGGAAATAAAAATAAATGAAAGCGGAGTAAAAATATATTTAAAAAGTTACGAAAATGTATATAAAATTAATAAAAAAATGAATAAACCTTATAATAGCATGCTGTGATTTAGTTTATAAAGCCATTACAGTCATTCTAAAACTGTTATATTTTGTATTTGTAGGAATGAGGCAAAGACAGAGGGAAAGAGCGAGCTGATCCCATCCATCAAGTTCCGGCACAGCTGCCTGCTGAGAAACCAGCGCTGTATCGCCGCCTACCTGTGTGTGATTCACTGGGTTCTCCTGTTATCCATCATCACTCTCGACAGGTGTGATCAAACCCATCTCTCTTTCTTTCCACAGTTATGATCGCCTCCTGCGAATCCGTGCTCTCAGATGGGAGTATGGCAGTGTACTGCCCACAGCCATTCGCTTTCATATGTGTGCTGAAGAGGTGGGCCTGATTTTCTCCTGTGTAATGTTAATATACAGTATGTCACATGTATCTTTCTGGTCTGTGACTGATATGTGTAACTTAATTGCTTATAAATCAGATGGAGTGGTTCAATCAGTACAAAAAGTCTTTGGCAACCTATATGAGGTCATTAGGGGGAGAGGAAGGTTTGGACATAACACAGGATATGAAGCCCCCTAAGAGTTTATACATCCAGGTGAGTGCAGTGTTATTTTAGTAGAAATGGGATAACAATATAGTTTGGAAGAATTTTTTTAAAAGTACTTTTTGTTTTTATATTTTCCACTTTAATTTAAAATGTTTTGTAATTTTGTTTTTGTCATTTTTGTTTTATTATATTAATATTACTTAATGTCTTTTTAAAATTAGTTTTAGTTGAGTACATCAAGAAATGTTGCCTTGGAAACTAGCTGGGAAAAAAAAGTTTAAGGTTTTCAATTGATGTTTATTTTACTTCAAGTGACAAAAATGTTTTTATAATGGTTTTAACTATAATATAACTGTATATGAGTGGTCACAGAAATATAGGCTCTCTGCAAGTAATAGAAATGTGAAAGAAATGGGTCAGTGCATTTCAGTGTCAGTCAGGCAGAATCATAAAAATACATTTGCCTGAATGTCACAGAAATTTCGTATTTCACCACAAAATTCTTTTTAAAAATGTAGAAAATAAAGCCAATTTTTAGATCTTGAAGAATTCTTGCATTTTGACATTACACTACATTCTCATTGCTATAATATGAAAAATCTCTCTTTACTGTAATGCATGTAAAAAAAAAAAAAAAAATCATCAAGTTTTTATATAGTTTAGTTGTAGAGTACATCATCGTAATATTTGTTGTAATACCTTGTAAAAGAATTTCAGTAATGGAATGCTTCAAATATGTAAAAACAAATGTGTGTGTATATATAGGCCTATTAGCACTGATCATTTCATTCCCATTCAGGTGCGCTGTCTTAAAGACCATGGAGAATTTGAAATAGACGATGGCACTGTCATTCTGCTGAAGAAAAATAGCCAGGTAACTATATTCTTAAGAGCATGTTTCAATCTTTATATATATATATACATATATATAGCATAACACGTTTCACCCTCTGTCTTCACAGCACTTTTTACCCAGATGGAAATGTGAGCAGCTTATTCGGCAGGGTGTATTAGAGCATGTCATCTCCTAACAAGAAGCAGCTGTATTGTGGATACTTACCTTCACGTTCATTTAGATATTACAACTTTAAATTAGAGTGAATCATCTAATCAGAAAGCTACACAGGTAAAACTTTACTTGGTCACATTCTTTACAGTGGTACATGATGCATTTACAACACTTTCATCTCCCAACAGTTAGCCAGCTCTTTTAAACGAGGTGTACATCATAAGAGACATCTGCTACACAATAATTTATATCAAAGTGGACATTAGTGCATCATGATTGACAATTGTGCAATTACAAGATAGTATTTGTATCAAAACTGTACATTGTGTGAATACTGTGCTTTTGGTTATTGCACAACAATGGGCATTAAAACGGCAGTAAAAAGAAAGTGTCTTTTTTTTACTAGCAAATACTGAAGTCAACACATTTACAAGAATGCTTGCGGTTTGTAGCCTACATCACAGTGAACAACTGAAGGAATGTGTAATGCTCTGTCCTTAATGAATGATCAAATCTCATACTACAAAAGTCTTGTTCATTGGTATTTGTTTGCCTCTGAAGAGACCATTGAATTAACTTAACCCTTCTTTCTCTTTATACTCTTGAAAACAGCACGATTTTTAATACAATATGCTGTTACAGTAACTCTTTAAGACTTTGCATTATCTGTGCTTTCATTTTAACACTAGGATTGCTTTTACAAAAACACGTTTTGCACCAAAAGACAAAAGTGCACTAAAGGGTGGGACTTCACAGCCCAGTACAACAAATAAAGGCTCATAATGGAGTGCAACAAGTCTAAGCTGTGAGGGATGCTGGGGCAATTTTACGTAGCAGTTTATTAAGGGCGATCACTTTCTCCTCCAAAAGAAAAGATTTCTTCTCTGCACTCTTCTGCCTCTGCTCCGTCACCTGAAGAGCCTTCATGAGCTGAGAGTTTTCCACATACAGGTCCTTCAGCAGCAGATCTGACTTGGCATTTTTGGCTAGCTATGGGGTGAAAAAAGTTAGAGAGATGATTGTCACCATATAAAATATCTTACAATAACTTCAGCATACTAAACTCTTACTATTTCTGAAGTTCTTAATATGTACTTTCACTAGTTACAGGGCTACCACATTTATATTCCATTAAACATTCAAATTAAAGAAACTGTTCACCTAAAAATAAAGATGTTTACAATTTACTCACCCCCAGGCTATTCAAAATGTGGATGAGTTTGTTTGTTCATCAGAACAGATTTGGAGAAATTTATCAATACAACTTTTTCACTGGAGGTAAAATTTTGGACAGTTTTAAGTGCCTTAAAGGGGACATGTGATGCGAGTTCAAGTTTTCCTTTCTCTTTGAAGTGATACAAGCTCTGGGTCATAAAGAAGATCTGTAAAGTTGCAAAGACTAAAGTCTCAAATCCAAAGAGATATTCTTTATAAAAGTTAAGGGTCAACCACACATACCTAAAACGGCTCGTTCTAACACGCCCCCACATGTCTACATCACGATGTGGGAAGATTTGCATAACACCGCCCAAATGTTCACGCAAAGAAAGAAGACGTAACTTTTATTCTCGCTGTAGTATTGTAGTTCGGCCAATCACAACGCACTGGATAGCTGGGCAATCAGAGCACACCTCGCTTTTCAGACCGATGAGCTTTGTAAAAATCGACGCGTTTCAGAAAGGCGGGGCATAGAGGAGAAACAATGTACAGTATGTGAAAAATAATGTGTTTTTGAACCTTAAACCGCATAAACACATTTCATTACACCAAATAATGTTCTTTTTAGCAACATCATATGACCCATTTAATGATGGATTTGTTTCTAACAAATACACAGCTTTTCACTTCACTACATGTTAATTAATGGACGGGAGTCGTGTGGTTCACTTGTGGATTAATGTCATGTTTTTATCAGCTGTTTGGACTCTTATTCTGACGGCACCCATTCACTGCAGAGGATCCAGTGGTGAGCAAGTGATGTAATGCTACTTTTCTCCAAATCTGATCTTCTCTACATCTTGGATGGCCAGAGTTGAATTTTTGAGTGAACTATTCTTTAACCATATTTATTTCGAAGATGACATACAGTATGTGACTATGTGGGTTTATGTTGTGTGAAATTTTTACTTATTGCAATATTTTACATAGTGCATGCCTACTAAAGCTTCACATACTAAAAACTATATTTAAAAAAAGTAAATATTATGCAGTATTTAGTAAGATAGTATTTAGTTTCGAAAATATCCATATTTTCTAAATGTGGTTTTAATGCCGTTAGTTTCTGGTTACCTGTTCTTTTAGCTGGTTGACCTTCTCCTGCAGCATGACACGGGTGTTTTTCAGTTTGGCCTCAACCTCATCCATACGCTCCTGCATACTTGCCATCAATTTCTCGTACTGCTCCTGTTGTTTGATTTAATAGTTCATTAATAAAAATATACTTGAAATATGAGATCAAGGGTGAAAAAAAACCTAAATGATTCAATGCAAAAATGTATATTAAGCACTCGCATGTTCACTCCCTGTTTGACTGCCTTAAGATTTTGAATGTGATGCTGATGTACCTGCTGAAGTCCCATCTGAACACCGGCCTGTTTGGCCTGAGAGCGAAGCAGATCCTCTAAATCCAGTGTCCTGCGCTGTTGCTCCACCAGTTGAGTTTGCAGATGAGCCAAGTGCTCCCGAGTGCCAGAACCCACCTGTTCCCTTAGTTCCTGCACCTCACATGCATGCTGGGCCTGGACCATTGATAGAGCGCTATCTGCCCTTAGCGCCTAAACATCAAACATACAAAAGTGAGACCAAAAACATTCATAAGGAATTCTCAATCAGTAAGAAGTTTGAAAATGATCTTCAAAACTGTTTGTCTGCCTCATGTTTAGCGGTCTCCAGCTCTGCCTGTTTGTTCCTCAAAGTGAGGCACTCATGTGTCAGTCTCTGAAGTTCCAGCTCCTGAGTCTGCAGCCGAGCCACCTAGAAATATAATCCAGCATATCAGAAAGATTTCTGAAGACTGGAGTAATGATGCTGAAAATTCAGCTTGGCATCACAGGTATAAATAACATTTTAAAATATATTCAAATACTAATTTTAAATTAATATTTCACAATATTATGTTTTTTTTTTTTTTTACTGCATTTATGATCAAATGCTTGGCGAGTATGAGACTTCAAATACATTGAAATTCCCTGAAGTGAATACAGAAGAACATTCCTGCAACTAAAAGTATATATCAATATCAACCGCAATGTCATGGGTTCGATTCCCTGTGAATGCATGAACTGATCTATACATTGAATGCACTTAAAGCACATTTTGGATAAAAGCCTCATGCATAAATGTAAATGCATTCCAAATAGTTCACTAGATATAAAACAGGGAGCAATTATGCATAATTGCTTATAATTGCATATCGAGAAAAATCCATGCAAAAGCAATTTATTGTTCCTGACTAACCTTATTACGAAGTTCCTCGTTCTGTAGTCGCAAACTCTTGCACTCCTTCTGCAGGACACCGACTGCCGTCTCCTCCTGAAGCCTCTGGGTCTGATGTAACTGCTCCTTCTCTTTACGCAACTGACGTATGCTCTCCTCAAGCTCCTGGACCTTGTGTTTTACAACAATACTTGCAGTCATTCAGTACTAATAAAAAATAACTTGTAAGTAGTATAAAGATCTTTGCTGACCTTTTCCTGAGACTGTTGCAGCATCTTCTGATGTGTGGCTGACTCCTGGATGTGAACATCCTTTTCTTGCCACATAGTCAAGATCTGGGAGTTGAGCTGCTCTATCTGGGCTTCTGATTTGCCAAGAGATTCCTGAAGATTTATCAGCTGCAACAAACACAAAGCATGTTTCAGCATAAACATGTTGGAAATATACTCTGCGAAAAAGCCTCAACATCTCACCTTCTGGTCTCTGTCTGACGTTTCCTTCAGCAAACGCTCCTTGTCTTGCTCTAGTGCTTGGTTTTTCAGAGTCTGACTATTCAATGCAGACTCAACCGCCGTCAAACGCTGGAGCTGAAGAAAAAAAACGCAATTTCAGCAATTCCTGCCAACTTTGAAATAATTTGTTAAAATATCCTACACAACCAATCCATACCGTCTCCTTGGCAGTTTTAAGCTCCCTCTCTAGAAGCTCCTTCTCTTTCTGCCACTGTTCCTGCAGCTTTAGTGTGTCGCTCTTCTGCTGTTGAAGGGTTTCCTGCAGCTGTTTGTAGGCCGCAGCTGCCTCATCGTTCTCCTGACACACCTGTGCAAGCCTGTCAGTCAGCGTCTGCACTGCTCTCTTATCAGTAGACAGCCGGGAACTCAGTTCAGCGTTCTCATTGCTAAGTTGCAGGTTTCTCGCACTGAAGTCAAGCACCTCCTCTCGAAATTTGGAATTCTATGTTGAAGAAATCAAATAACTGTTAGGAGCAGCAACTAATGGTTTGCAACCATTTCGTTTTCATAACGTGACATTTAATGGGAACAAATAAATGAATGAATTGGAATGCAAACAGTGGTTTCTTTATGACAGGTGGTTGGAGTGGTTGAAAAACAAGGGGGCTTGGTGATCGTAAATGAAAAGTTGTTTTAGAGGTGGATCAAGTTTAACGGAAAAATAATGACGTTTCAAAAATGTCTTCTCTTCCGTGTCAGTCTTTGATGCACGTTCACAAGAGTACCACGACGCATGGTTCACCTTGTTTACAAGTAGACCGATTCATTGGTTTTGCCGATTAATCGGCACTAATAGTTGATTGGCGGAACTATCCGTTATCGGCAAAAATTCATGCCAATAGTTTTCCGGGTTGTGTCCATTGCTGGAGTGGCTGAGAAGGGTCCGCTGCCATTATACAGTATGAGAGCGGTCTCTAGAGGCGGAAATCACTAACAGCACGTGCTGTTTGTTTTGACACGTGACACTGCACAGAGCGGGAAACTTCAAGCGCATTTAAATGCAGCCGACAGAAAATCCTGCCGCGGAACAGAGCACCATTCACATAGTTTTCCATTAAATTACATTATATTTGTCCCAAATCATTGTTAATGTACATAATGACTTCACCCTAGGCTATAAATTATGTATTGTGCTCTTTCTGTGGCTCTAATACAGTCTGTATGCTTCATATAGAGAGCTGTAATGCGCTTTCTCTTTCCCTTTGCTCTCACACCGTTGTTTACGCTTAGGGGAAAGCTATGCATTGTGATGCTCTCTAAAATGGCATAAGACATAACTCGGGGGAGAAGTTATTTTTGTTTTCTTTGCGCTCAAAAAGTATTCTCGTAGCTTCATAAAATTACGGTTGAACCACTGATGTCACATGGACTATTTTAACAATGTCCTTACTACCTTTCTGGGCCTTGAACGTTTCAGTACCCTTGCTGTCTATAGAGGGTCAGAAAGCTCTCGGATTTCATCAAAAATCTCAATTTGTGTTCCGAAGATGAACGAAGGTCTTGCAGGTTTGGAACGACATGAGGGTGAGTAATTAATGACAGAATTTTCATTTTTGGTTGAACTAACCTTTTAAGTATTTTGATGAAATACCAAGAACACAAACTTTTCTTTGGAATAATGTGGACTGCTGAATATTTAAGAATAAGACCAGAAATGAATATTAAGAAATGGGGCTGAATTTAAGATCCATGCTATCAATATTTTTCAAGCACTTAACCTCTTTCCGTAGCCTCTCCTCTTCTTCTCGATTCTTCATATATTCTCTCTCCATCTCTTCAAGTTTCCTCCTAAATATAATGAAGCAACATTTGGTTTTGCTAAATAAGATAGCAAAATAAAGTGTGGATAGTTGACAAGTCAATGATTTCTTTACCTCTTTTTGTTGAGCTCCTCCTCCAGCGACTTGACATCCTGCTGTAAGACAGCAAGCCTGTCTTTCAGTGCACTGTTTTCAGAGGTGACCTCATCAAATTGAGCCCTAGAATTGGGAACCAAAATATAGAGATCAGCTCTTCATAACAATCTTAACCGCCTCTGCACTTTTAGGCAGCTTAGTACAGAAAACAATACAATTTCAAGAACAATTACTATTATTTTAGAGCTAGATTTTCAAAAACATGAAAAAAGTTAGGGCGGCAAAACAAAAATGTAATACTGTTAATATAATTAAAAGGATGCAAGGACACACTTTCAATCAGAATACATACAGTAACTGTTATTAATAGTGAGATTGCATGCATGTCAGTGACATCAACATCATTCAGTTAGTGAGATGCAGCATGAGGCTGAACAGTCAAAGCGCATGTCTACGGTTAATGAAATCTCATTGTGCGAAACATTCTTGGACAAACATGAAAGTAGTGAATGGTCAACTCTTGGCATCCATACGGGAGAAACGGCGATTGGATCAATGCATCAATTCGACGGTCATCTACCAGCTGGAGAACAACAAACCTGTGGGGATTGGCCACCTCTTGTTCTAAAGCCATGACAAGCCCCTCCATCTCCAGAAGCTGTTCTTTCATATGGCTCTTCTCACTTTCAAAGGCCTGCTGAAGCTCTGTTTGGGAGTCCATCAGCGATTGCTGTAGTTGGTTGGCGGTATTATCGGCGTCCTCCCTCAGAAAGCACAGCTCTTGCTCTTTGTCCTCCAACTGGTTGGTCAAAAGTTGAATCTGACCAGAGAGATGATTGACGTTCTTAAACAGGTTCATCTTCAGCTGAACCTCATTCCAGAGCAAATCCATCTCTTCGGCTTTGGCTTCAAGCTGAAGATTGAGTTCCAGCATTTGATTGTCTTTGTTTTGCAGTTCCAGTGCAAGTTTATCTGCGTTCTCTTTGAGTTTGGTAGACTCGGCCTCCATTTCAACAATCCGAGATGAAAGCTGGTCTACAAGTTGCCGGTAGCTAGAGTTCTCTTGTTCAAGACATCTCATCTCTCCTTGCTCGGAGTTCAGACGGGCTTGGAGCTGTTCAACCTTACCCTGCTCCACACAAAGAGAGCCTTGAAGTTTTTGCTCCATCATGTGCATTTGATCCCACTCCTCAGAGAGACCGTTGACCTGCGTTTGTAGCTGTTTGAGAAGCTTGCATTGACCCCTGAGCTCCTCTAGGAGTCGATCCCGCTCCATCTCCACAGCATTTAGCTCAGAAGCCTGTCTTGTAAGATCGTCATCTCTGCTTTTCAGAGCCTCATGTGTTTTGGCCAAGTTTTCTTGAAGCTCCACAAGTTCTTTTTCTTGTTCTCTCAGCTGCATTTGCTGCTCACCAAATGCAGTAGACAGATGACTACTGCTTCCCAGCATCATTTCGATCTCCTTCTGCCAGGTCTCAGATTCGGTCCTCCAGTTCTCCATCTCTTTAGTCAGCTGAGAAACTCTGTCAAGAAGCTCCTTTTCCCGCTCTTTTTCTTTTACAAGTTTCTCCTTTAGATCTTGAATACTTCTGTCCGTTTCTTTCTGTAGTAGCTCCTTCTGCTTCAGAAGCTCTTGCTTCTTTTCTCGCTCAGCTTTAAGCTTTTGCTCTAGCTGAGAGAGCTTATTGCAAAGCTTCTGTTCTTTCTCATTTCTGATTTCCATTTCTTTCTCTTTGGCATGGAGTTCTGTAGTCAAATGCTGAATGAGGGCATCTTGAGCTTTCATGGAAACCGTGTTGTCTTCCAGCTGAACACACATCTCTTCCAGCTTATCTTCTAGCTGTTTTTGTAGTACGAGCAGCTCCTCCTCAGCCCTGGATGTGAGCTCTACCTGAGCTTCCATGAACTGGATGTGTTCTCCTAGCTTCCTGACTTCCTCCTGGTGTTCCTCCTCTAGTTTCTTCCTCTCCTGTGCCACCCTGCTGCAGATCTGAGCTTGCTCTTCACTCCAGCGCTCGGTGCTGAGGAGACACTCCCGGCACGTCTCCTGTTCCAGCTCCTGAACTCTTGACTCCCATGCACAAACTTCTCTGCGATGCTGCTCGGATTGCTCCTGTAGACGGCTGCGCTCGAGGTGCAGCTGGTGAAGGAGGCTGCGCTGAGCCTCGCTGTGTTGTGCCTTCATGTGCAATAACTGCTGTTCTGCCTTCTCCCTGGGACACAGCAACATGCTAATATGTCTAAATTCATGGAAATGTCATGGATACCAAGGGAACAATCTACCTTTTCTTTACTGGCATGTTGGTTAAAAGATTGAACTTATAGTTAAACACAACTGGGATGTCATTTGTACACTTAGACATAATGAATGTCCACATGAAGCATGCATATTACTTTTAATTGAAAATGCATCTAAAATAAATTGTACTGTATTTTCTGGAATACAAATATTTTTTTTATTATCTGAAATATAAAGGTGACTTATATAATGCAATTAAAATGTTACATTTCAGTTTTGTTTTAAATTTGTTTAGTCTCGCCATTTATAATCAAGGTTAGTTATAATGATTGCCACTATAAATTTAGTTTAATGCTTACTATTTTTTTCTGAATACTGTTAAAGGGGTCATATGATGCGATTTCAAGTTTTCCTTTCTCTTTGGAGTGTTACAAGCTCTTGGTGCATAAAAAGAAGATGATCTGTCAAGTTGCAAAGACTAAAGTCTCAAATCCAAAGAGATATTCTTTATAAAAGTTAAGAGTCA